TCATTTTCGATTAATGTTGACAGCTGAAAAAAAGAAAAGTTGCATTAGAGAGATTTGTAGTTAGTGTAACAAGTTCAGAATTAGAATGAATTGATGATTTTTTGCTTGGCAAAGTGCATGCCTTCAACATTCAATCGGGTCAGAGAACTGACTCATTTAATGCTCAATTTCTTAGAATACTATGATATTTATGACAATATTGTTGGTATTTGCTGCCACACAACTACATCCTGCACTGGACAATTTGCTATAACAGTTACAATCCTATAAGCTATCCTTAATACTCGTCTGATTCATGTAATGAATTGGCATAGTGCTCCAATATTTATAAAAAATTCTATTACAAAAGAAAACAATAAATGATATATAAACAACAATCCAAAAAATCAAACGGTCAACATTATTTTTTCATAAATAGAATAGCTGACAAGTAAAACCATTTATAACTAGAAGTTGTAAAAGCGAAAAACTTAGTTATATTTTTAACACTCTACGATAAATATATACAAAACTGTGAAAACCTGTTAATATCTGGCATCTACTTTTGTATCAGTTTTCATCAACATTGCTCTATTTTTTTATTATTACTTAATATTACTTTTGACTATTTACTAAAGTGTCACAACTTTGTTAGTTTAGAATCACCTGAAAGTATTTTTTTAAATAATAAAGTTTTAAGATATATTTGTATAAAAATTGAAAAAAACAACTTTCAAGATGGATGCAAAAATCTGCTAATACTTTTATTTATATCATTATAAATTTGATTTTACCACCAATGGGCAAGGCCCAATGTCTGTTGTTCTTCTTCGGCAAATTTTCGTTGGACCATTAATGGCTTTTTTGCGGCTACCCACTCTGATCTCAAAATATAACTGGATTCTATTGTTTTTTTCCGAAAAAGGTTGAAGACAAAATTGGCTTCCCAAGATGGCAGTGATTTAAGTTCCTAGCGGTGAAACCAATATAGATTTTATTTGGCTTTATCAAACTACGATTTGTTAAAAATAAAAGAAAATAAATGAATTTTATAAATATTAGAGAAAAAAAAAGAAATTATTTTTTGAATAATTCAATTTATTATTAAATGGCATTTACAATTTTGGTTAAATTTTGTGTATAATTTATGTACCTTTTAGTTCTTAGTTACCCAATGCTGTATGCTAGAAGGTTAATAACATAACAGCATGGTAAGCAGCAATCATCTCTACCTACAATTTTATATTCTCTATTTTTTGTAGCAAGATACCATTTTGTTCAAATGCTGGATGAACTATTAACTGAGTGCTGTCAGTATACAGGGTTATACAAACTCAGGGGTTCCTTCTAGAATTATATTATAACTCTATTATTGCATAAATTATTTGAATAAAACATTCTAAAGTGTCACTTAAGCTGGTAAAAAAAAAACAGGTCTGAATTATAGTTATTTATATCCACTTTTTTTTTAAAAAAAAGTAAATAATCATTTTTTATAATTTAAAGGATAACTACTCAATAGAATTGAGGATGTATGTAACAAATTTTACATACATCCTCAATTAAACATTTGTTTGAAAAAACAAATTTATTAAATTTTAATATAGAAATATTCAAAACACCTCTTTGAATTATCTCGTTAACTAAAGTTATATATACTGTTTACCTGCTGTTAAGTATTATGGTTATATGTTATAGTTTATATAAAGGCTGACTTTTTTATATTATTAAACTGTATGTTGCAGTTAAATAATTATAAAAATATGTTGTAGAGTTTATTCGCATAAAAGATTGATTACATCACATATTAAATTCACAAAATCTATATGCAGCAATGCTCTTTGTTACGCAAATGAATTTGTCTAGTTTTAAAACTGGTTTCATCGGATATTCGGTAGCAATTAAAATATATATCTCGACTGAGTAGAAAAAGAAGGTTCGCCATAAACTTATTTAACATATAAGCTCAGTCAAAACCATCAAACAAGTTCTTTATTGCGCTGTGAGGTCTTATTTAGCTGTATATATATATATATATATATATATATATATATATATATATATATATATATATATATATATATATATATATATATATATATATATATATATATATATATATATATACACACACACACACATATATATATATATATATATATATATATATATATATATATATATATATATATATATATATATATATATATATATATATATATATATCCGAAATTTCTTATAAGCACAAAAATGTAAATATTTTAATAAATCATCTTCAGTTGAATTTAAATTTTTAAATTTGTTTAAATACCTATATAGGTGATTTTTACAATAACAATACAAAATGTAATTATCTATGTACAAACTATTAATTTAATTACAAAAATACGATAAAATCTATAAGAATAACAAGTCATACTAAAAGAACGAATAGGAAGTGACGAAAGAATAGTTTTTTCGTTAAAGAAATAAGTCAGGTTTAATCTACATAAACAATTTTTAGTATCGTATGATGTAACCAGCTTATATACTAATGTTCCACTTTAAGAAACCATTGATATCGCAGTTAATTCGATTATGCTTAATAATAAAAAATTTAAAATTACTAAAAACGATTTAAAAAAACTATTTCATTTCTCCACCTCGCAAACAAATTTTCTTTTTAAAGGACATACTTAAGATCAAATAGATGGTGTAGCCATGGGCTCTCCACTAGCACCTGTTCTAGCCAATTTGTTTATGGGCCATTTTGAAAATGACTGGATTAAAAATTACAATGGTGTTAAACCAGTTTTCTATAAACGATATGTTAATGACGTTTTTGCTGCTTTTCAGAATAACTGAAACATTATAAGAGAGACAAAACGAATAACTGAACATTATAAGAGAGACAAAAAATCACATCTATAAACATCTCCATAGTAATGAAAATTGTTTTATGCAATTAAATGAAAAGTGTTTTTCCGTTTTAGATTCAGCATCTAATAAGTTCGAATTAAAATTTAAAGAGTGCATGTTCATAGAATGGTTAAAACCTGGTTTGAACAAACAAATCAACCATGTCCAAATGACACTTTCTGTTTAGTTATTACTTTCTATGAAAATTTTTATTAACTTATTCTTTCGTAACTTCTAGAATTAAATTTTAGTTTATGTTTGCTGGTTATGTCTTTAGCCAAAGAAAATGCTCGCACTTGAAAGTAAAGTTTTATATTTTCTAAAAGGTTTTTACAAACATCATTATCAATATCAACTCCACATCCTGTCAAGATAGAGTTATAAAAGCTCACTACTTTTGTATTTTTTAGTAGTTCTACAGTCATTCTGTTAATGTTAATTTTTGCAAATGTTTAATATTTGTTTCATTTCGAAATTGAATTTCAGCTTTCACAAATATTTGCTGGCATTAATTACTAACAGCTGTAAGTCCACCACGACTTTGTGCCTCAATCAATTCCTGATCTGAAGAATTATTGCTAATAGTGTTATTTAATATTTTTATTATATTTTGATTTTCATCGGATTTAGAATTTGGACTGTTTTTCAATTTTTTTATAAACTTTTTGACAACATACCCTGCTAGATATTACAAGGCACCAATTTCATCATTTATTATAATTTTTATTTGTTTTGCTTCACTGTCAGGCATTCTTTTGAAGTATGCAAGCACCTTGTCAGCCAGTTGTATCGCTAAAAGGGTACTATTGGGTTTTCCTAATTCAGGAAAGTAAACTTCTGCTTCGATTATTATTTTTTTGTAAAAGCTGGAATAATAATTTTCCGAATTGGTTGTACTTATCAAAACGTCATAAATCTTTTTTACATCTGCATAAAGTGCTTCCGTTAGTATAAAGTTATAACACATGAAACATTCTCGTCGATTTAAGTTGTAGCAGTTATCCTCAGATAGAGTTTTTGTGATTCCAGAACTAAATCACTTAGTATTATGCTACTCATTGTATTTCTACTTGTATCAAAAATCTCTTTTAGTTGTAAATGTTTACAGTTTTGGTGACGGGTAAATCCCCCTTTTGATTTACAAATTTTCCCACAGTTGTCGCACTTAAAACTGCCTGGTGTTGACTCCTATGAGAAAAGAAATCTATAGTCATGTATTAGTTACAAAGCCCGTTTTTTTAATTAAATATATTTCTTGCGTAAATATTCTTACCTCTGCAACATATACAACATTTTCAATAATAAATTCTTTATCCAAAAGACCTTCATCCTGAATATCTATTAATAAATCTGTAGAATCCTGTGTTAAAAACTCGTTATTTGATGCCATGATATAAATGTTTTGCACACTCTTTGGTCACGTGATTAAAAAACTATTTATTTCAACATGCGCAACGTAACAATAAGAAATAATTTCAGACCATAGTTATATTCTATTGACTATGATTTATATGATATTTTTTCTTCTGTAAAAACTTAACTATTACGATTGTTGCAGCACTATTCTGCAAGTTTTAAAAACATTTAGAAACTGCTTTTGAGGAATTAGAACGATATTAATGATCAAGATATTAATAATGATCAAGCAAACAAATTAAACAAATATAACAATTATAAAAATAAACATAACAGATTATATATCAACACCATTTTAAAGTTTGTAAAAATAAATTTTTAAAAAGAGAATTTTCTTAACTTTTTTATTTTTTATTAATTTTTAAATTTCCACTTTAAGTTTTATTATTTTTAAAATAAAATTTAAAGAGGAAATTTAAATTGAACTGGAATTTATATCTAAAATCCTATAGGATTTCTTCATATAAGCAAGTATATAATATTAATCTTCAAAAAATGCATTCAGTCTATTTTCAAACCAATCAGACATCAAAATCGTAATCAAATCAAAGATAACACGATAAACAAATTTAATTTAAACAAATACATTTTGTATAGTAATATGTTTTAAACTGTCGATTTTCAGAAACAAGGACTTGATTATTTACATTATTATTCGCACTTTATTTGGATTAAATGTAACCAAAACCTGATAAAAATAAAACGAGTTTTACTCAAACTTTATTGCTTGCTACACATTTTACATTGTTTTTTTTTAACAAGTTAAAATATGAAACATTTAATTAAAAAAAAAATAATTAAAAATTGCGTAAATTAAATATAAAATTAAGGATACAAAATATAATAAAATGAAATAAATAATTTACAGAAAGTAAAATAATCTACAGAACGTAAACCACAATAATTTTATTTGTCATAAATTCAAAATGAAAATGATATTTACTATTCAATATTCACGAATCTGCATTATATATTATTTATTAAACAGTCAAGCATTCGTGCTTAATTGTAAATCGAATCAGTAAAATGCTGGAAAAAAAAAATCACGAAAATTCAAATACTTTTTTCTTGGATCCATGTATGCTGCTAGAAGTTATATATTAAAGCAATCCTGGTCAACAAAAGATTATGAAAAACATTTTATGAATTCTTGAAACAAAATTATTTAAAAAACGTCATCCACATAGCTGCATCGTCATATCTTTCTAAATGATCAAATCATAAAGACATGTCAATAAAAACAAATATTTTTAAATTACAATGACAAAAACAAAAACAAAAACAAAAAAAAAAGAAAAATCCTATTAAAAAAAAAAGTAAACGCTAAAAAAATATATAATAATAATAACGACGGAATCAATAATAATAACAACGAATCACTAAAAATAATAAAAAAACCTTAAATTTAATAAAACTGGTAATTAAACGTAATAAAAATGGTAATTGAAAATACGTACTAAAGGATTTAATTCACGTTTTTCGATGAGATCAAATTCAGTTACAAAATGATAGAAGTGTTTGTAGCATTGGTTGATATGAGCTTCCTACAAAAACAGAGAAATAACTCATTTTATTCAATAAAAACACAATTTTTTCAAATAAAATAAACTATAACATTCGTAAATATTGAGCAACTACTAAACACCAAATAAACACAAAATCAACTTACTGCACCTAACGAAACAATTTTTTCAAAGTGATGAATATAAACATGGACAAAGACGCGAAACAATCTTTTTAATATGTTTTTCACTATGCTTAAGAAGTTTTTTGGAAAAGGATCATCTAAAAAAAAATAGTATAAGTTAACAACTTTTATTAACTTAAATTTTTTTTTTAAGTTTTATAAATGTTTAAAGACTGTTCATATCAACTTTACATCAACTGTACATGTTTATACAGCTTTATATCAACTGTACATGTTTATATAGTTTTTCTAATGTATTTTGTGATTTTGTTAAATTACTTTTATTTATCAAGTAATAACTTTTCTTTCTAGTATGCATGATTGGCACTAAAATAGCACAAAAAATAAAGCAATCTAAAACAAAATCAAATTTATCAAATAGTTTGATAGATTGTACAGCTACTTAATAATAGTCTGATAGACTACCTAGCTACTTAATAATAGTCTGACAGATACCTAGCTACTTAACTTTAGTCTGATAGACTACCTAGCTACTTAATAATAATCTAATATATTACATAGCTACTTAATAACAGGGCAGTCAAAATTAGATCTCTATAGTTGGCAGTCAGCAAATGTCGTTTTTTAGATAAGTTAGTGGGAAAAAAATTTCTTTGGCTTTAGTCTGTACGCTTTTGTTTTTTTAGTTTCATTATTGATCATAAACTTGAACTTTTGCCGTGTATGATGATGAACATGAACCTTTATCATGTATGATGATGAACTTGAGTCTGCGTCATGTATGATAATGAACTTGAACCTTTGTCTTATATGATGATGAACTTGAACCTTTGTAATGTATGATGAACTTAAACCTTTATCATGTATGTTGCTAAAAATATTTTTTTATCTATCATTTTGATTATATGAAACAATTCATGGTTTGTAGAACTCGAGATTTTAATATTATATTATCAATTTTTTTTAAATTTAAGCTTGAAAAAGATTACTTTGAAAGCAAAAGACTAAAATAATTACAGCCGAAATGTCAAAATAGAATCTATGTCAGATAAACATAATTTAAAATGTCAGATAAACATTTAAATAATTAACATAATTAATAACATAAAGTCTACTATTAATAAATAAAATTAGCTTATTTGCAACATTAGATATTAGTTATTTTCCTAATTCCAAATAATTAAAATGTGTATAAAACCATAGTTAGGAAAGAAGATATAAAAACCATACCAGAGTTAGGAGGAAAGATATTCTCATCATTTACTTGATGATCAACCCAATCCATGAGTGTTGATATATACATTGGAGCGGACAGTGCTGTTGGTTTTTTGTACTTTTCTCCATCTGCCCAATAATATTCATATCTGAAAAAATTTTGAAAACTTGCAATAATATTCCTAACTGAAACAATTTTGATGACTAGCAAAAATAACATTCATATCTGAAACAATTTTGAAAACTGGCAAAAAGTAAAATTTCAACTTTATTATTAAACATAAAAATTTTGAAAACACCAAAGAAACAACACAAGGAAACTCCAGAGGAGTTATGGCGTAAAATACTGAAATATTGTAGTTATAAACTAAAATACTGAAATATTGTAGTTATAAACTAAAATACTAAAACATTGTAGTTATAAACTAAAATACTGAAATATTGTAGTTGTAAACTAAAATACTGAAATATTGTAGTTATAAACTAAAATACTGAAATATTGTAGTTATTAACTACAATAGTGCAGATTAAAATACGACCTATTTTATTTCCAAAACTTCAGATTGCGACTTCTAAACTCCATGTGAAAAAAAAGAACACTTTATACTTTTGGAGTTGATAATTTTTGAATCAAAAACTGGTTCAGAAATGACAAACTATGTTTATCATTTTTGCAGTAGAACTCGTAGTTTATTACTTATTCAGGTTCCAAAATAAGACTCTAAAAGTTCTGATTTTTTTCAAATGGAGAAGTTCTGAGAAAAATAAAAATTTTGAACAAATTTAGAGAAAAAAAAGAAGTTTAGAGAAACAACAATTTAGAAAAAAAAAACAACAAACTTTGGACCACCAGACATGACTGGACAGCTTGCTTCTGTACATACATCAGATATTGTTCCATAGATAAGATTAATTCGATTGTAGAAATCCACAACTACAAAAATTAAAAAGATTAAAACAAATCAAGCATGAGCGCAAAAAAAAAAACTTAGGGAGCTGTAAAAACATATAAATTGTTGACTTAGAGAACTGTAAAAACATATAAATTGTTGACTTAGGGAGCTGTAAAAACATAGAAATTGTTGAATTAGGGAGCTGTAGGAAGCAAATTTTTCAACTTTAATAAAAAGTTTCAGACCTAATTCAATATTCAAAACTATATTTATAGTCAAATTTATACAGATTCTTTTGTATTAAATACTAAGTTATTTGCTTAATTAAAACACATTTTTTAACTCTTTACTAAAATTGTGTAATGTGATGTGATGGAAAACCACCCACATCAAAAATAATAACAAAGTTTGTTATAAAACCAATTAAGATACCTTTACATGTTTATATTTTTTTAAAAAATTATCTTTAAATATTTTTCTATAAACATATCTGTACATGTGTTTATTTTTCTATCAACTGTACATGTGTATAATTTTGTATAAATTAGCAAGCCGAAATATCTTTTTTTAGATTGTTAAATATATGAGAATGTCTCATATGTTTAACATACAAGACATTCTCATATGTTTAATATATGTATGTCATTCTCATATGTTTAATATATATATATATGTTATTCTCATATGTTTAATATATGTCCTGTTTTGACAATTTAACAATTTTTATATAAAAGTTCTTCTAGTTGCATTTATTATTATTCTTCTATTTGCATATCAAAGGATCTGCTAAAATTTATTTTCTTTATTGTGCGAACCATTTTCTTACTCCAGATTCCATTCTCTACTTTTATAATCTTTCAATAATTTTTGAATGTTGTCATACTCAAGCTTTTTTTTGTGCTTGTGTACTGTTGTGTGTTACTTTAACTAGTGTTGTATATTTTTATATACTTGTGCTTGAAGAAGCAATGACACATAAATTTTATTTTCAAATAATACATTTTCTGCTTTTAGAGTTTTCATTAAAATACAGTATTTGCTATTAGTATAAAAAACACACAAAGTGTATTTTTATACACATGCTGACATTTTTCTTTGTTCAGTAATAAGTTAATGATTTGCCATTTTATATAAAAATGTAGTTATAAAAACACTTTTCTTGTTCTTACAGAGAAAGGTTTGTGATTTATTTTATAAAAACTCAAAATTTTCTTATTCCTGATTTTAGGTCTTTAGTGAAAATATTAGTTTTAGATTTTGTTTCCAATGTTTTTAATGTTTCAAAGATCTTTATAAAAACAGTAACTGTGGGAGAAAAAGTGGTTTATATATACTTCATGTTTTTATAATGACATTTAATATTAGAACCTTTAATTAAAGCAAGACATCTCTCATACTTACTTGTTACCTTTTGTTATCTGGTTGTTATTTGGTAGTTACAGCTGGACTGTGTCATCAGTGCTTATGAATAATCTATTTTTATTTATTTCATTTTTATTCCAAGTTATCATAAAAATAGTTGTTGTTCATAGATCTTTATTAAAGCAGTAACTGTAGGAGAAAAAGAGTAACTGACCAAAAACTCCTAAACAGAAACAAAACCATAAAATAGCAAAAAAACTCGCCATGATTCATACAGAAAACTAGAAAGATGCCAACTCATAGAAAAATTATGCAATTACTCACTAACTCATACAAAAATTACGCCGTGCTAAACCCTATCCCTCAACCAAAGTATGTACAGACAGATGTTGATAATTTTTTTTCTTCCTTATTTCAAAAATTGAAAATTACCAATGATCAACTTAATTTAATGCAGCATGAATACATTAGTTTTATTTTTCAAAAAAGTCAAAAGTATTTCATTTATTATCAATTATTCTATTTATTATTGTTATCGTTTTATTATTGTTAAAATTATTGTTAAAATTATTGTTAAAATTCAACTATTTTATTGTTTTAACTATTGCTTTAACTTTTGTTATCAGATGAACATCATGAACATTTATATTAACTAATTTTGTTATCAAATGAACATCATGAACATTTAAATTAACTAATTTTGTTATTAAATAAACATCATGAACATTTAAATAATTAAATATGAATTAAAACTTGTAATGATTACTTATACGAGCGTAAATTGTAATTGCCTTCAAACTTTCAATTTTTATGTTTTTAAAAATAATTATATATTATGTATAGACTTGTTAAAACATTATTCAATAATAGTAATAATAGTACTTGTGAAATTGATAAAACCAATCAGATAAACTGCTAACATTTTAATATTGTTGAAAATACTAAAATAACTGTTGGACGACACTAAATGTTTGATTAATGTAATTGACCACATAAAAATACTAAAAAACCTGTTGGATGTTAAAAAAAGATGGTTGTTTGACTAATATAATTGACTACCTAAAAATTTTACTATATTTTTAAACTATTTACAAAAATCAAAAACATTATAAATATCACAAAGATCATAGTTTTATACAATGTTATACTGTATTGTATGTACAATGTATGTATTGCAAATAGTTCAGATATCTAAAGTTGAAACAAACTTCAAATGGTTCAGTTATCTAAAGTTGCAGTAAACTTCAAATAAACAAGGCACAAAAAAGGTTGAAAAAAAACTTTTAAATGTTCAACAAAAAGGATTATTAAAACGTATTAACAAAAAAAACAATTTTTTCATTTTTTGTAATTGAGATTGACTTAACATTGTTATAAAAATATGACTATATAAGTTTAACTATATGTTTGTATATATTTATTTTTATATTATTTTTATTATTATGTTTGTATATAAAATATTTTTAAGATAAAAATTTCAATAGAATAATTTAGAAGTTTAGTAGTATAATTTAAATATGAGAAAAATTTAGAAAACAGGTAATAAAAGAACACTAAGAAAAACACTAAGAAAACAGGTAATAAAAGAACACTAAGAAAAAACTTAATAACTCAAGAAGTTGATCTGACAGACTTAAAAAATGACTAAGCATCTAAACAAATAAAATATATCAATCACAACAGAATATTGTGATTGGAACCAATAGGTAAAAAAAAGATGTTTAACAAGCAAAGATTGAACTGCCAGACCTACGTAATAAAATTCTTTTTTTTCTGACCCAGTTTTTAAAACTTAGAAAAACTGGGTCAATTTATCCTCTCTAAACGCTGTACTACCTAAAGCTACAGCTTTATGTAATACAGAAAAATTAGGCTGATAAATAAATCTAAAGTTTGTTTTTATTTGAAAGGTATTTACATATATATATATATGTTATTCTCATATGTTTAATATATGTCCTGTTTTGACAATTTAACAATTTTTATATAAAAGTTCTTCTAGTTGCATTTATTATTATTCTTCTATTTGCATATCAAAGGATCTGCTAAAATTTATTTTCTTTATTGTGCGAACCATTTTCTTACTCCAGATTCCATTCTCTACTTTTATAATCTTTCAATAATTTTTGAATGTTGTCATACTCAAGCTTTTTTTTGTGCTTGTGTACTGTTGTGTGTTACTTTAACTAGTGTTGTATATTTTTATATACTTGTGCTTGAAGAAGCAATGACACATAAATTTTATTTTCAAATAATACATTTTCTGCTTTTAGAGTTTTCATTAAAATACAGTATTTGCTATTAGTATAAAAAACACACAAAGTGTATTTTTATACACATGCTGACATTTTTCTTTGTTCAGTAATAAGTTAATGATTTGCCATTTTATATAAAAATGTAGTTATAAAAACACTTTTCTTGTTCTTACAGAGAAAGGTTTGTGATTTATTTTATAAAAACTCAAAATTTTCTTATTCCTGATTTTAGGTCTTTAGTGAAAATATTAGTTTTAGATTTTGTTTCCAATGTTTTTAATGTTTCAAAGATCTTTATAAAAACAGTAACTGTGGGAGAAAAAGTGGTTTATATATACTTCATGTTTTTATAATGACATTTAATATTAGAACCTTTAATTAAAGCAAGACATCTCTCATACTTACTTGTTACCTTTTGTTATCTGGTTGTTATTTGGTAGTTACAGCTGGACTGTGTCATCAGTGCTTATGAATAATCTATTTTTATTTATTTCATTTTTATTCCAAGTTATCATAAAAATAGTTGTTGTTCATAGATCTTTATTAAAGCAGTAACTGTAGGAGAAAAAGAGTAACTGACCAAAAACTCCTAAACAGAAACAAAACCATAAAATAGCAAAAAAACTCGCCATGATTCATACAGAAAACTAGAAAGATGCCAACTCATAGAAAAATTATGCAATTACTCACTAACTCATACAAAAATTACGCCGTGCTAAACCCTATCCCTCAACCAAAGTATGTACAGACAGATGTTGATAATTTTTTTTCTTCCTTATTTCAAAAATTGAAAATTACCAATGATCAACTTAATTTAATGCAGCATGAATACATTAGTTTTATTTTTCAAAAAAGTCAAAAGTATTTCATTTATTATCAATTATTCTATTTATTATTGTTATCGTTTTATTATTGTTAAAATTATTGTTAAAATTATTGTTAAAATTCAACTATTTTATTGTTTTAACTATTGCTTTAACTTTTGTTATCAGATGAACATCATGAACATTTATATTAACTAATTTTGTTATCAAATGAACATCATGAACATTTAAATTAACTAATTTTGTTATTAAATAAACATCATGAACATTTAAATAATTAAATATGAATTAAAACTTGTAATGATTACTTATACGAGCGTAAATTGTAATTGCCTTCAAACTTTCAATTTTTATGTTTTTAAAAATAATTATATATTATGTATAGACTTGTTAAAACATTATTCAATAATAGTAATAATAGTACTTGTGAAATTGATAAAACCAATCAGATAAACTGCTAACATTTTAATATTGTTGAAAATACTAAAATAACTGTTGGACGACACTAAATGTTTGATTAATGTAATTGACCACATAAAAATACTAAAAAACCTGTTGGATGTTAAAAAAAGATGGTTGTTTGACTAATATAATTGACTA